TCAAAAAGAATTTTTAATAGTTTTCTGACCAAATCGTATACGTTCTTTCAGAATCTGTGATCAAAAACGAATTTTGAAATTGAGGAGGTGGGGGGTATCTTTGGTATGTTCATGGATTCTCTCTTAATTTCTCTATACCGTCGAATTTGAAGCTGCTGTCATGGAATAATACTCAAACTTTTGCAAACGTTTATAATGATCCTAAAGTGAAAAATGTTTACTTCTGTTATTTGTTTAATGACTAGAAAGACTCTTAACGGTTTATCCTTCAGTAATAAAAAATGATAAACCATTAAATTATAAAACGAGTGTATATAATTTTCGAAATTATTTCGACAGTTTTTACCTTACAAAGATTAAAATTTGAAAAATGACCTACCTGTTCTGCTAATTTATTAGCATTGTGTAATTTTTGTTCTATATCTGTACGTAATTTATTTTCTTTTTCACATTCCGCTTTGGCTAGTGATAAATCGTAAATTAATTTTAAATTTTCTTCTTGTTTCTGGGTATTTAATATACGTAGTTTTTCATTATCCTCACAATATACTGAACATTTTTCGCAAAATTTTTGGGAAAGGTCCATGATTTGTGTGATCTATATGAAGAAGACAAAAAATTAGAATAGATTATCACGTTTTGAAGTGATCTTTACAGAAATAACAGAACTTCATGAAACAAATTTTAAGTGTAGTAGAAGGCAAAATCTTTGATGGAATACTCAAGCTGAATTAGAAATGAACGAAACAGGTTTTCTCTTAATTATCCATGCTATTTGAGATCACGAATTCTTTTGTAAAACAATGGCGAACAGACAGCGAATGTCTTCCATTAACAATAGGGCTGAATATATTTGGCTCGGCCTGTACGGGTCTCTGTGAATCGAACCGAAACAAAATTCTAGAGCCCAGATACGGATCGAAAAACCGATCCGGGATGATCACTAGTTTCGTTACTAAAAAAATATACAATCGGTAAAAGGGTACATTTAAGTTGTCTCCTTTTTTCTTATGCTATGTCACGTCTGTTTTTATGATTAATTAATTCTTTAACTGTTTTAACGACTCTGGTCTGCATCATTCAATTAAACATTTCCTTTTCTAGCAGACTAGTTCCTTTGTTTTCGAGAGATTGAAGTGTTCCCAGTCGAAAAATAAAAGCTTTTTCCAACATATTAAAAGATTATGTTAATAGTTTTAGATATTGAAAACTTGTGTTTTCGTTTTTATTATTTACTTTTCTTCCGAATGCATAACTCATTTTCGCTGATTTGTTGCTTTTTGACAATTAAACTGTATTCGAATTCAACTATTGATATATTTTTCCAATTAAGATGACAAACAACAATGATGACACAAATGTATCGTGATTATTATGTCAGATTGTCAAGGGGGAAAAAGCACTTTTTTTAGTATAGCACCTCAGCACCTTTTCGGCACCTAAAACTACCGATTTAGTCTATCAGTAACGTTCTCGCTTTGTAAAATTCAAGATGGCGGATGGGTAATGGGATCGAATCCGACCATGAACTATTTTTTTTTTTTATTGTTT